ATAGGATAAGGAGGTTTCTCAAAACGAGAATAATCCATCAGTTTCTTTGGAGCTTCAACAACTTTCTCCTTTGTTTCTTCTTTGTCTTGCCTTGCAGGTTCTTCTTTCTCACGCTCTGGCTCAATTATCGGCTCATCAACTTTCTTTTGCTGAACCAATTTTGGCTTGTCTTGAGGAGTGTTCACAATCCCACTCCTGGTTACAATGGACTTGCAGTCTGCCTTTGGATTCACAATTGTATCACTTGGGAACTGTCCTTGAGCTCTTTCAGCCAACTGCCTAGCCAACTGGCCTATTTGACTCTCCAAGTTTCGGATGGAAGGATCCTGGTTCTTGTGGTAGGCTCTGGTCTCATTTATGTGATCATTAGTAGTTTTGGTTAGTTGTATCATCGCTTTCTCCAATTCGAATGGCTCTTTTTGTGGAAGAGGAGGAGGTTGCAGATAGTTGTTGGATTTATAATCCAAGCCGCTCCCTTGATTCCTCCTTTGAAAGTTGTTCCCTTGGCCTCCATTTTGATTTCTCTGGTAACTCTGGGTATCCTGTGGTGGCCTTGGATCGTACCACACTCCATTGACTTGGAATGGTTCAGCTCCATTGAATGTAGGGCACTCATTAGTCTCATGTGGCTCTTTGCAATACTCACAGTTGAATACATTAACTTTAGATGAGATTTGCATTCTATCTAGCTTGCTGTTCAGACTGGCTAGCTATTGTGATATCATCTTTTGCTCAGCTAATGACGCATCATTGTTCCCCAGTTGTAAAATTCCCTTCTTAGTTTGAGCTGGCTGAACTGGATGGACTGCCGTCGAAGCATTATCGTTCTGTGCCAAATAATCAATCAACTCCAAGGTTTCAGCTGATGTCTTCCTTCCTATGGTTCCACCGGCTGCACCATTGACAATCATACTGGTATCTGGTGTCATCCCATTATAGAAGACTCTGACCTTCTTCTCGTCTGGAAAGTCATACTGAGGGCATTTCCTGATCAACTCCTGGAATCGGGTCTAGGCTGCACAAAGAGTCTCTCTCGGCTGCTGAATGACGTTGGTGATCTCGTTCACCAACTTGTTGTACTTTTCCCGCGAAAAATGCTCAGCAAAGAATTTAGCTGCTAGATCGTCCCATGTTCGGATAATGTTCGAAATTATTGGCCTCTATCTATGGTCGGACGACACTAGAGTTCGGCCTTGTGAACATTGGAGCCAGAATTGACTCCATCAACTCCGCTGCAGGTGGTGGAAGAGGTAGAGGTTTATTATTAGCTGCCATCACTGGTTCTTTGTGAGGCTTTGAACCTGAAGATTCTTCTTGCTTTCTCTGCTTGGCTTGTTTTCGATTTTCCTTTGCAGTTTTCTCGATTTCTGGATCAAACTGTAAAGAATCTCGATCTACTTTACCTCGCATAAACTACAGCAAAAAGGTTAGTAATAAACAAAATCCAATAAAAAAATTCAAAAGTTAAAAATAAATTAGGCGTAGTCAATCCCCGGCAACGGCACCAAAAACTTGTTGCGAAAAATCGGCAAGTGCACCGATCGTACCAAGTAATAAAATAGTGAGTAGAGATCGTCTCCACGAGGATTGAGGCACCGAATTTATTTTAACTATTCCTTTCTTATTGGATGAATAAAAGTTGGTTTTTGAGAATAATTGTGTTGTACCAATTGTGAACTATTTAATATCTTGTGAACAATTCAAAGAGAAAATTGAAAACTTAAAATAAAAGGTTTTTGAGAAAATATTTTAAAAAGCTATTGCAGTAAAGGACGCCAATACGTTTCTGATCCCCACCTTGTAATATTAATTAATGTTTACATTTAATTACCCAATTGATCAAACAATTCACCATCTATTAATTAATTAGTTAAGCCCTAATCCCTTAGTGATTTTAACTTTATTAACCCTATTAGAATCCTAATCCCTTAGAAATCCTTTTTCAAGTTAATCCTTTAACCCAGTGAATTTTCCACGTTTGCAGTTCATGTAGCTTATCCCTAGTGCATACATGAACTGTTATTTTACCCTTTGTCAGGAACTAGAATCCCAATATTCCTATTGAAAACCCTAACCCTCGCAATCCTAATAGAGTGATCAATTCTAAAAGAATTATAGATGAAGAACATGATAAAATAAATCAATTGAAATAATTAAATATAAATTTAACCAAACTATAAGGGGTTCACATCAAGGGTTGTGACCCTTACCACAATAAAAAAAACTAGCCAGACATATTCATGTCTGACAATTTAAAATATTCAAAAGAATTCATAAAACAAAAGAATAACCGGAAGAATTGAGAAGAAGAAATCTTGATCTTCAGTCACCGAAAGCTTGCTCCGATTCCTGTTGCTTGCAATTTCTCTCGTGCAAAAAGTTATTTTCTCTTGAGGTCTGAGTCTCTATTTATAGAGTCTTTGACCTTGTGTAGAATCTTGATCGAATCCTTGTCGCAATCTCAGTGCAATCTTTTGTCTGATTTAAAAGAGATTTAATGTTGATTGACGCACCACGCCACTAGCGTGGTTCCCACGCTGTGAGCATGGGATTTTTGTTAAGAATCTTGGAGCTCCACGCAACTAGCGTGGTTACCACGCTTCAAGCGTGGACTGCTTGAGAGTCTGGCGCTACTAGCGTCAATTCCACGCTAGTAGTGTGGTATCTTCTGCCTGTTTTTGATCTCTGGCGCTACTAGCGTGAGTAGGGGTGTTAACGGGCTGAGCCGAGCCGAGCTTTGATCTTAACGGGCCAAGTCTGTATTTAAACGTGTCCGACTGGCCTTAGCCTGTTACCTGTTACGAATATAATATTGGCCTGTGGCCTGATTTATTTACAAAAAATAAAAGCCTGTGTGAAGCCTGTCTTAGCCTGTTGGCATCTTAAAGAATAAAAATAAGAGAACAGAATTCCACAAAAAATCAATTTCCAGATAGAAACCTTAGCTTCCAATTTGCAGCAATAATTTACAAAGTCTACAATAAATAAAAAAAATTAAAGTGAGAGAAGGTAGATAACAAGTTATATTATCTTAGCCCATTATAAAAAAAGTGCCAACAAAAATAAAAATAAAATAAATAAAATAAAAAATAAATTGACACAAACGAGTAGTGCACAGTGGAACGAATGAGTTTTTGTGGGTTTGTTTGTGTGAAGGAGGATGAAGGATAATATAGAACAACACTAGTAATTCCATAAATATACATAAATTCAATATATATCCAAATAGCATAATATAGAACAAAATCATTCAAAAAGTTTGTTAAACCAATAAAATGGGGTGAAATAAATTGATGAGAGAAAGTTATTGCAAGTAGTATAAAAAGTATAAATAAATATTTATATACTAGGCTAGCCTGGGAGGCTCTAATGCCGAGCTTCTGAATTAGAGCCTGAGGCCTTTTTATTAAACGAGCTTTTATACAAGTCCAAGCCTGGTTCCAACACGAGCTTTTATTAAACGAGCTCAAGCCTTTACGAGCCAAGCCAAAGGCCCCTGAAAGGCTCCTGGCTCGTTTACCACCCCTAAGCGTGAGTCCCACGCTAGTAGCGTGGATGCCTCTGTCTGAAATTGTCTTTTCACGCTTACAGTGTCATACCCACGCTCTCAGCGTGGGCCTTCAGTTTAGCAATTTCCTTTTTAGCTTCAGTTTGTCTGTTTTTCCTACGAAATCAACACAAAATCAATATGCAATCTCTGATTGAGATTTTAACAGATTATGAGTAATATTTGGCCTTTTAGCTTAAGATTAATCAACATTCTTTCTCTTTTTGACTTAGATTTCCCTATATGCTGAATGCATATCACCAGTCAATAACCAAGGAGATAATTATCTCCATGATGAGGAGGCTAATGATATTCCATTCACTGAAAGGCTCATGAACTTAGCAATTCCGCCGAGGTTCAAAAGTGCCAGGATACCTCCATATGACGGAAGTCAGGACCCAGATGCTCACTTAGAGGCTTTTAAGACTGAGATGATGTTCAACGGGATAACTGGACCTATTAAGGCCAGAATATTCATGACGACATTGATAGGTCAGGCAATGGCATGGATAACAAGGCTCCCCAGGAACTTGATCGATTCGTTCGAGGACTTGGCTCGAACTTTCCGTATGAATTTTGCAACGAGTAAGGCACATCTGATGCCGGCCTATGCCTTAGGGAGAATCCGACAAAAGGAGAATGAATCATTGAGGAAATACCTTGATCGATTTAAAGATGTCGCCCTCAAGGTCCGGAATCTAACTGAACCAATACACCTGCATCTGATCATCTCAGGATTAGATGGCGATTCTCCACTCGCAAAGTATATCTATAAGAACCCGGTCAACGATATCGAGGATTTCCGACGAAGGTAGGACAAATATATAGATGTTGAAGACATGCAGAAGGCTTAAGGAAAGTCCAGAGGACGGAGCCTGAATCACAGGAGCCCAAGCAAGAAGAACAAAGACCGAGATCAACGGGGATCGAAGAAAGGAAACGACTCTCATGACAAGAGATCATATGACCGATCTCCAAGGACCAAGTATGACACTTACACACCACTAAACATGTCCAGATCTCGTATCTGGAAAGAAGTGGCTCAGACCGAGATGCGTAATGTTGAGAGACCTCGACCCCTGAAGAATAAGAGCGGGTTGGACAGAAACAAATATTGTGCTTTCCATGACCAGAACAGTCATATCACGAATGACTGCTGGGATCTCTGAGATGCTATTGAGAAACACATCATAGAGGTGAAACTGAAGCAATACATTATCCGAACTCAGGGAAAGAAGAATAGCAAGCGAAGGCAAAGAAGCTGGAGCAGAAGTCACAGCCCTAAGAGGGAGGAGAGGAAAGATCGGGAACAAGACGCCCTCCAAAGGGCAAAAAGGTTGAAGATAAAGATGATGAATTTCAAGAAGCTGAATTTGAGTGCAATGTGGTAAGTGGAGCTTTGGACGGAGGAGGTGATACTGCAAACGCAAGAAGAAAATACCTAAATGAGGTCATGTCCATTAGAGACAGACCAACCTTCAAAGGAAGAGCCAGCAACCCTGTTCCCCCAAGATTGTTCTTGACACAAGAAGACCTAGAAATGATCGTACCCGGACACACTGATGATTTGGTGGTTACTGGGGTGCTAGTTAACTGTCGGGTCAAGAGAATCTTCGTTGACCATGGAAGCTCGGCAGACATACTCTTTTGGAACATTTTCCAAAGGATGAACTTGGATGAAAAAGATCTGAAACCATGCGCCACCGAGCTGATTGGCTTCAACGGAGAGCCATCCCCTCCAAAGGGCTATATAGACTTGAAGCTGACCTTGGGGACGAAAAAATCGTTCCGAGCTGGAAGGGTTTGGTTCGTGGTAGTAGATGCACCTTCCTCCTACAATGTGATCATTGGCCGACCTACAATCCATGAGTGGGACATGTTAGTCTCCACCAAGCATAAAGCACTGAAGATAGTGGGATCAAGGAACAAGGTCATCACTGTAAGAGGAGATCAAAAAAATCCAGGGAGTGATTTTATGAGACTTTGAGGATCAATCACTGAGGGTCGTCATCTCCCCCCAGAATCAAGGCGAGTGGAGGCAAAGCCTCCGCCAAAGACCAATCGGTATACCCATGCGGAAATGAAGTAAACTTGGTCGAATTGGACATGAGGGAGGAGCTTCAAGCACCTCGTCCAGAACCCTAAGGAGAGCTGGAAGACGTCAGTGTTGGGGAGAACGACAAAGGATGCACCAAGGTGAGAAAGGGCCTAGAAGCCGAGGTTAAAAAGGAATTAATCTCATTCCTCAATGAGAACTCCGACGTGTTTGCATGGAGGGCATCGGAGATCCCGGGAATAGACCCAACTTTTTGTTGTCACAAGCTTTCTATGTACCCGGGGTCAAAACTGGTGTCCTAAAAGAAGAGGAAATTAGGTCCTGACCGACGTACCGACGTCAGGCCTTGAACGAGCACGTGGACGAGCTGCTAGAAGCCGACTTCATTAGAGAAATACAATACACCACTTGGCTGTCCAACGTGGTAATGGTGAAGAAACCGAGTGGGAGGTGGAGAATTTGCGCGGACTACACCAACCTCAATAAAGTCTGCCCAAAAGACTCGTACCCGATTCCAATCATTGACCAGCTAGTTGATAATTCATCAGGATTTCAGCTACTATCATTCATGGACGCATACTCTAGCTATAATCAGATCCCGTTACACCCAGATGACCACGAGAAGACCGCATTCATCTCGGAGAAGGGAAATTTTTGCTACAACGTCCTGCCTTTCGGCCTCAAGAATGCCGGAGCGACCTATCAAAGGATGATGAACCGTGTCTTCCAAAACCAAATTGGAAGGAACCTGGAGGTGTACATTGACGACATGATCGTCAAATCGGTACATATAACTACATATATAGCCGACCTTAGAGAAACTTTTGAGCAATTGAGAGCTCGAAAAATCATATTGAACCTGGCCAAATGCGCTTTCGGGGTACCAGATAGAAAAAATTTGGGCTTCATGCTCACCAACAGGGAATCGAGGTTAACCCTGACAAATGCAAGGTTGTCCTCGAAATGAAGCAACCAGAAAACAAAAAGGAAATCCAACAGCTTACAGGTCGCCTCGCAGCCTTAACCAGGTTCTTGCCTAAGTCGGTTGAAAAAGCCTTGCCTTTTTTCAAGCTTTTAAAAAAGGAGGCAGAATTCGGATGGGGAGAAGACTACAAAAGGGCATTCGAAGAAATAAAGAGCTGCTTAGCCACCCACCCGTGTTGTCGAAGCCAGAGCCCGGCGAAACGCTGATCCTATATCTTTCTGTAGGGGAAGAGGCTATTAGTGCAGCCTTGGTAAGAGAAATCGACAAGGGAAAGCACCGATATACTTTGTAGGGCGAACATTGCAAGGACCTGAGCTCCGATATCAGAAGCTTGAAAAGGTGGTATTTGCCTTACTCACCAAGGCAAGAAGGCTCCGGCCTTACTTTCAAGGGCATCGAGTAGTCGTAAGAACCAACCAGCCCATTAGACAAGTGTTACATAAACCGGATCTAACTGGGAGGATGATCAACTGGGCCGTCGAGCTCTCGGAGTTCGACATATCGTATGAACCCCGGCAGGCAATCAAGTCCCAGGCATTAGCCTACTTCATCCTGGAGTTAACCCCGTCCAAAGGAAAAGGTAAAGAAAACGAAGACCTCTGGACAATATACGTCGACGGATCCTCAAACTCTAAGGGGAGCGGAGCCAGGGTGATAATTGAAAGCCCGGAGGGAGTGTCCATTGAACACTCACTTCACCTTGCATTCCCGACCTCAAATAACCAAGCTGAATATGAGGCTTTCATCGCAGGAATTGTACAGGCAAAAGAGAAAGGAGCAAGAAGGATAAAAATTCTCAGTGACTCACAGCTTGTAACTTCGTAGGTCGAAGGAAAATATCAAGCGACCACTAATGATGAAATACCTCCAAGAAGTTAGAGAACTATTGGCTGAGTTTGATAAGGCGGAGGTCCAGTACATACCCCGAAACGAGAACAGCAGAGCGGATATCCTGTCAAAGTTCGCCAGCTCGAAAGGATCGGGAAATCATCGAACGGTCATAGAGCAGAGCATCCCGGAGCCGACCTACATCATGGTTATAACCGAGAATGAAGACTGTAGAAGGCCAATAGTTTCGTACTTAGAAAAAGGAAGTCTGCCCGACGAGGCCTAAGAAGCCAGAAAACTCGTGAAGAACTCGGCTTGTTTTACGATTCTGGACAGCTTTACAAGAAATGTTTCTATACTCCCATGTTCAAATGCCTAAATAAAAATAAGGCTGAATATGTGATAACTCATATTTTATTACACTTATTTTTTACTCTTGATTAGTATTTTTAGGATTTATTTGAATAAAATAATGATGTTTTGAGTTAATTTACATTTTTAGTTTTTAATTGGGTTTAATTGATTTTCGTCATAATTTTCCAAATTTACACTACTTCCGTATTTTGACCATATCTCACTCTACAGATGTTCGATTGACTCCATTCTTGTTGCTTTTTTCAGCTAATAGATAGGGCTACAATCTTTATTTCAGCTACTGAAGCCCAGTTCGGACGGGAAGATGGTCGAAACTTGATCTCAAGATGACGTGTTTTGCTGGAATTTTATTTTAACGTTTGAACTTGTAATTCACATTAGGACCCAATGTGTCTAAGGCCCAAGGCCATGTTTTATTGTTTTATTTTATTTTATTCAGCTTTTATTTTATGTTTGGGCTGAAGCGGTGAAACCCTAGCCGTCTTGCGTGACGGCTATTTAAGGGAGACTCTAGGAAACCCTTAAGCAGTCAGTTTTTACAACAGAAAAGTTCTCTCTGAGTTTTTATTCAATTGCGTTCTTCATCTTTTTCTTCTTCTTCTTTTTATTTTAATCATGTTTACCTTAGCCATGCGAGGCTAAGAACTTTTTAATCAACCTAAGGGTAATGGATTCCATGGATTAGTCTCGAGGGTCTGTGCTTATTTCAAATCAGTTTCGTTTCCCTTCCAAACTCAGATTGATATCGTGCGATCGTGGATATTTAATCTGAGGTTCGCGATTGCGATTATGGAAAGAGATTAATCATCAGATTTGATGATTAGGTTGATTGACCCTATGACCTTAAATCAAGTGGGCTGATACTCTGCGATTGTATGAGTAGAAGCATCGTCTTTGATCAAATGCTAAGCGATCGCTTAGAGAGGGTTGTCAATTGGAAATAAGGATTCTGATTCGATTGACAAATCAATCACGATTCTGATATCTTCTTATCCGAGGAAAGTCGTCCATGGAACCCAAACCTTAGGTTGATTGTTTTTAATTACGAATTTTACATCCAATTTTATCTTCTGCCTTTTTAAATTATTCAACCGAAATCAAAACAAACCCCCCTTTTATTTTCTGTCATCATAAACAATTTTTACCCAAGCAATTTCCTTGAGAGAGACGACTTAGGGTTTCCACTCTACTACAAATTTTCTGAACCCTAAAGAATTAATTTTTAATTTGCGCGAGTTCGACAGTTCGTGTCAATATGCCCTGGCCGAGATCCATGAAGGCATAAATGGGAATCACATGGGAGGAAAAGCTTTAGCCAGGAAGACACTTAGGGCAGGATATTACTGGCCTACTATGGAGGCGGATGCGAAAGAGCATGTCAAAAGATGCGAACAATGTCAGAAGCACACACTCATCCTTCGTGCACCTCCCCAAGAGCTGCAAACCATCACGGCACCCTGGCCATTCTACAAATGAGGATGCACCTGTTGGGACCTTTCACCGCGGCCGAAGGACAGCTCAAATGGTTGATAGTAGCGGTTGACTACTTCACCAAATGGATTGAGGTCGAACCCCTCACCACCATAACCTCGGCCAGGATTCAAAGATTCTTTGAAAGAAACCTCATCAGCCGATTTGGAATTTCTGTCGAGATTATAACGGACAATGGAACACAATTCGCTGATAAGAAGTTCCAAGAGTTAATGGCCGACTTCAAGATCACACACCGATTCACATCAGTAGAGCATCCTCAGACAAATGGACAAGCCGAGTCAACTAACAAGGTGATCAACAACGGCCTCAAGAAAAGGTTGTTCGATGCTAAGGGAAATTGGGTACAACAACTATACCTCGTCTTATGGGGCTACAGAACAAGTGCCCAATCTGCCACAGAGGAAACTCCTTTCAACCTGACATATGGGTGTGAGGATATGATTCCAGTAGAGATCGGAGAACCGTCCTGGAGGAGGGTGCAAAGACTATAGGGAACTGAGGAACAAAATAGCAAAGCACTCGCTGTAGAACTCGACCTACTAGACGAAAGCAGGGAGAACGCCAGATATAAGAATATGTTGGCAAAACGTCTGGTGACGGCAAGGTTCAATAAGAAGGTCAGACCTCGGTCATTCCAGAACGACGACTTGATACTAAGGAGAGCAGACATTGGCAACAAGAATGCCAGAGATGGGAAGCTCGCCGCAAACTGGGAAAGCCCTTACAGAGTTAAGGAAAACTTGGGAAGAAGAGCCTACCCTTTGGAAACCATCTCCAAGAAGCCGGTGAAAAGAACTTGGAACACGGACAAGCTAAAGGCCTACTACAGCTAGACCTAAAGTCTGACTTTCGAGAATTTGTGAATAAATTTTAAATTCTTGCAAATAAGACGAGCACTTAAGCTCAATCAGTAGATAGATTTATTTCTACGCAAGTAAGACAAGCTCTTAAGCTCAGTCAATAGGTAGATTTATTTCGAAGAAAATAAAACGAGCTTTTAAGCTCGGCCTTGTAAATAGATTTCATTTGAAATGCAAATAAAATGAGTATTGACCTCAATCTTGTTAGTGCATATCGATTTCTATTCAAGCAATAAAAGCCCTCGAGCTTAACGATCTAATAAGGAATAAAGTTTTGTTGACGAACAAAATTTGCCCAAGATCAATCAAAACAACCTCGGCAAACCATGAGCCGGACTATAACAGAACGAGATCGAAATTGAACCTCAAATATGCAAATTAAAAGAGAA